CAACTTGTTTAATTGAAACAGCTGTTAAGATTCAATAATTCCATTTCTCATAAGGTTAACATGGGAAACTCCAGAGCCACTGGGGCGGAGCCCGAAAGGATTTTTGAAATAAGAATATGCCTATATGTTAATCGGGAATGTGAGCTATCATCATGCCAAATTTCAGCTCAATCCGACCAGTATTTTTCGAGTTTACTGTTCCCATACACACATACAGCAACCACCTCTTTTTTATAATAGTATAGATAGATAGATAATGAATCTTAACAGCTGTTTCAATTAAACAAGTTGGTTCTGTTCTATGATGTTCAATAGCATAAAAGTTACAAGGATTACCAACAGGGTGCAGCACTATTTTTTTTTTTTTAATTTATGACAACAGCTAATTTTCAACCAAAAGGTGAGTGAGCGTAGCGAACGAACTTCAACCTGGAGGCGAGTTAGCGTAGCGAACGAGCGAACCTAAAGGCAAGTGAGCGCAGCGAACGAGCTCCAACCTAAAGGTGAGTGAGCATAGCGAACGAACTTCAACCAGGACGTGAATGAGCCATGCGAATACTTATGAAGTTAAACGGGGCAAAGCCAGCTAGTCAGTGAATATGTGTCATAGTGATTTCTTAAACATACAACTTTATCAATAAAATAAAATTCAACACTCCATCGTTCATAATTTCAAGTGCATCGTAAGAATGTCTGCTAAACCCTTAGAAAAGACTTGAGAACTAAATAATATAGCATTTAATTTGGTACCTGGTAAACAGAACTTCCCCCAATCACCCAAACATTCTCAATCGAATCAACCAAGGGAGGCTTTTTCAAGGCTTGTAGTGCTTCTGGAAAGGATCGGCAAACCACTAAATCTTCAGGATACTCCCCACTTCTGTAATTCAACATAGAGAAACTGATGCAATACATGGTTTTCTGCTTGAACACAGCCAATCGATGAATAACATGTTTCAAAACTATTATTAATAACATTAAACAAGTGGTAATGTAATATCATAGACTAACCAACACAAGTAGACTTCTCATCCCATTGTAAATTTTGAAGCACGTTTTTCGTGTCTAGTTCATGTACGTGACACATGGGCGCTAGTGTCGACGAAACTTTGTTTCTATTATTTTAGGGTTAATTTCTTGATTTGTGCTTTACTGTTTGGTTATATAACTAGGGGACAAGTTATTGTTTATGATTAGATTGTATTATTTGGTTAAATGAGGTTTTAAATGGCTGTAATAACGGGAAACAAATTGTAAACAAAAAACGACCTCTACATAAACCGTACAGAACTAACAATAAAATTGTCTTCAGCTGTTCCATAAGGATGAGAAATCTACTAAGGGAGTATGTTTTATCTATGGTAATATTCAAGATAGCCTATGTCATTTTTATCCAGTCAATATTTTATGTTGGTTTTTATAGTTGGTTTCTACCTTTTTTTGCAAACCGTCTTAAAATTGTTTACAAAGTATGATATACCTCAATGGTTGGTTAAATATTGTTGATAGGATTTTTAGTATAATGCCCTAAAAACATACACATGCTAATGAATGTAGTATGTGTGTTAACTAACGTTAAATCTACGTTAAAGTTACCTAAATAGGACATAAATTTCCTAAGTGTTCAAGGTGACATAAAAAGTTAACATCCTACTTCTAATTAAACCTGAGTAGGCTACTCCTAATAAGGCATAAGCATCAATCATCAATTATCAATCATTAAGATGGGGACGCCACTTAGGTGCGTATTTTAACCAAAATATGAGTGAAGGATGAGTGTAGAATGGTGTGAGATGATCCGTGTAGCTTTGTTACTGACTCAGATCAGCTGTTTCATTAGCCAGGATCATTTATTTAAAGCCCAATGATCAGAACCAACTGGGTCCAGTTTCGAACCATCAAAAAGCTACTGACTTTTCTCAGGATCGAATAATACATAGACCAAAGTGTCGGGAGAAAACATTAGCCTACTTACTGTGAACGGGATAGAACAATGTTAATCCTTCCTTTGAGAGGTCTGAATTTTCCAGGAATTGATTCCCAAGTTTTTCTTCCCATTATAACAGCATTTTGTTTTCCACTCTCTTTTACTAAAGTGGTCATTTTTGCAAAATATGCCATTTCCTTTCTGAAATAAGTTCAAATTAGGATAAAGTTGTCATTTTCTGGAACATAAATTGCCCTGATCTTACTCTGTAGCCACAAATATACAGTTCAGACAAACCTTTAAAATTGATGATAAAACACTGTATTTTTTATATAAAAAAGTCATCCAAAGTTTATTTAATTTCATCCTAATCTACGAAGCTAACTAAACTTTCAGCAATATTTCAGTAGGCCTAGTAGCCTAAATATTTCTCTGAGGCATCTACTATTCGACATTTAACATTAGTGTTAATTGCAACTGGGCGTATTTTATTGCAAAAATAAAGAACATAAAGTTTAAGTACCTGGTATAATTTGTTTGGTTTTGAAAGTTGAAGAATCAGTATACCGATTATGTTTCCTTTTAAACGTAAGAAATGTTGACTACAAGAGACAGTCTAATAAATGTAAAAAAAATAATGAAAACTTCATTTATCTTAAACAAAATTTGTATAGGCTAGTCCAACCAGGTAGGCTAAACTAAGAACTGAACTTGAATTTTGATGACCAGGAGGTACAAGTTTTTTTACAACACACGATGCAATAATGCCAAATATCGCTGTTTTTTATCTTTTCACGTTTATCACTTTTGCGGTAAATGATCCATGATCGGGATGAATGATAACAATGTGGCCGTATTTTATGATCACGATGCAACGTTGCTGTGATCAATGATCATTTGAGACAACCACAATGTTATCATGATCGCAGGAGATGGCCACGACATTGCCATGGTGACGGGAAATGCTCTAAAACAGATGTTTTTGGTACTATGTATAAAAGAAAAGGTTACTATTTTATACTATGCCATCCGATCCTGTAGTTGCAAATAACAGGGGTTAATTTGTAAAAGGCTAGTTTTAGGAATGGATCATAAGTTAATTATGATAAATTAAGTTATACAAGTGAAACTTTATTATTAAAATGATATCTGCAATAACGCTATTCTGAGTCCACTAAACAAAATAACTTATATTGTTTCGACAATATGGTAGGCCCCTCTAGGCCTACTTTGAAAAGGTGGCAGGTGAAGAAGGGAATTGATGTAGGCCTATAGATTCATATTTTAGTGACCGATTGTTCCAGCAATTGCAGTTTCCTGAAGAGTTTCCTAAAACCCTCAATTGTTTAGGTTAAAGTCTCTTTAGCTCTTATTTATCAAGAATTAAAGTTGTTAATATGAAGGTAGGCCTACATCTTTATGAAACATGTTTCCAAAAGATTCAGACAGATAGCAAAATTATTCATTGCAATTTTGCCAAGTCATTTGATCAAGAAGTGTGGATACTGAAGGAGAGTTATCATGGTATCAAGCAAGCAGGACCTAAAATGTCACAGTAACAAGTATAAACAAGCTTATGAACTTTTATAATTAATAAGTTATTATAACTTAAGCCATTATTTAAACTCACTTTAACCTCCATGGGATGTTTCCTTGATAACCAATGCCATGAGTGGTATTGACAAGAGCCACAATTATGGAAAGTTTCATTTTAAGTTAGTTAAGGAAAGCTATGTAAATGCTGGTGTAAAAAGAATCTAAGATATCGAGTAAAACTGCTGAATTTTTAGAAACAACAGGTTAATTAAATCACATTAATTAATTAAACCTCATACTAAGTGCAAATAAAAGATAATATTATGCAACTTGAACAGAAGAAACCAAACCGAAACCAAGCAACGAAGCAAGCAACAGGTTATATTTTGATTTGTGATTTCAATATTTTTGTTGCGCTTTGCAGTTTGCCGCCGTTAATGTTCGTCGTCTGCAAAGTGGGGCAAGAGGTTTTTTAAGTAAAAAAGAGCAGACACATAATTGAACCATAGATTAAAAAACAAGTCAATGATTGAACCGAGTAAATCAAGGTTATTTAAGCTGAGGAATTTTTGCAAATAATATGTTGCCTTAACTATGTCTTATAATAAAAATCATTTTGCTTGTTTATAACCGCATTATAAGGACAACTAACCCTTCTTTATGTTAGCCCTCCAGGCAGGGCCACCTTTAACTTTAACTCTATATTGAAGTTTGTGTGAGCATGTTCTTTTACCAATTGTATAGCTTTGCGTTTTTGTATGTATGGTATTGTACAAAGGGTTTTGCCGTAAATAAATAGAATTAAATTGAATTGAACTTCAGCCCGCGGCATTCGAAGGGGCAACGTGGCAAGTAGTGTTGTAACTCATTGTCCTTCCACCATGATTGTAACTGTTGTTTTCTTCGGAGGAAGCTAATTTTTTTAAACATAGTTTTATTTACAATCTATTTTGCATTAAACAATAATAAATACTAGTGGCTTGAAGGGACATAAGTCCCTGAAAAGCTCAAATGTAAAACAAACAATTGTAATACATTATAAACAAACTTAAATAAATCTAATACATATATCAGATATAAATCCCAGTACAACATATCTTTTGTGTAAAAAAATAGTTTGTTGTTTCTCTTTGTTTGCTTTTGATGTTATTTTTAATAAATAATTCAAATTATTCCAAAGGTTTAACTCTGCTAAAGGCAGCAAACGTATAAATCGTCAGTTAAACAAGGCATAATGATCACAAGGCATTCACAAGGCAAATTCAATACCAATCAACATGCTTCTACAAAACCATGACAAATCTTTAAAAAATTCTACAATAAATGGTACCTACAATAAATTCTCATAGTTGGTGTTCCCTCAAGAAAAGAGTGACGTCACGCCCCCCGCTCCTTCTCTTAAGAGGTTCTCATCAGTTTCTGGAAGAGGAAAACGTGGCGCTATATTTATTTACACAACTGTTCTTCTTTCTTGTTATTGTTTTCTTTTTCTGTTTCTGTTTTTATCATCGTCTGCGCAGTGCGCTTGTGTTTCTGTTTGTGTCATATATTTCATAGTTTTGGATTGGATTATAGCCTAATGTCAGTAGTTATTCATCAGATTATTTTTGTATTAGTTACGGGAGTGTTTAGTTTATTTCCCAGCTGTAGTAATCTATAATTTACCCGTATGAATGCTGTCAACGTGTGTGTGGTGTGTAGGGTCGAAGTTTCACAAGAGATTTTAGGCTAACAAGTTGTAGTTGTACTTGTAGTTGAAGTTGAGTATTGTCTCAGGCCTTGGCCTGAGTACATGGTTGGTATGTGACTAGGTTAATATACCCTATTTTTATTATATACGAACTACAAAGACTTTCAAAAATTTACTATATCTTTAAAGTACTGACTGAAGCTCGCGAGGTCCTATCTTAGTTAGTAATGGCTCCTCCTGCACATTCAGCTTCATCTCACAGCTCTGGGAGGAAAAGAAAATCTTCAAATTCTTCTAGTAGTAGTGATGACGAGGATAAACATTCTAAAAGTAAACACAGTAAAAAAACATATGAATCACGTCATGATTCAAGCAGAGATCAAAGAGGTAACAGTGTAAAACATGAATCAAGCCATGAAAAAAGGAATGATAGTAGCCGATACAACCTTAATCATGTCAGGCGGAGTGAAAGTGTAGCAAGCTCAAAACATGAGGGAAGATGGAAGCATGATAAATGGAAGGAATTAGATGATGATAAATTTATAAGACCAATGGATCGGGTCCAGAAAGATGATTCCCGAAGAGACCGTCGTAGTCAGTCAAGGTCTAACTTCCACAGAGAAAGAAACCACAGTTCGGCCATGGAGGATTTTATGGATCATAGAAGACTTGAACGAGAACGAATCACTTTAGTTGGAGTCGATCAAGTCTGGGCAAAGTCCCCTGCACATGCAGAAGAGTAAGTGTTTTCTTTGTATTTAACACTAGGCATTGTGTAGCCAGGTTTAGAGCATCCCGCGCAGAAAAATTGCTAATTGCCCCCTAAAAATTGAGCATCACCATACTAAATTAATTTCCCTCATAATGCGGTTACTGGTAGTCTTTAAGGGTGATGCTTTCTTCAATAAGCGCCTTAAACACAACTTAAGCTAGGCTATAAACTTATTAAACTATTGAATTTCACAATAAATTACAAAACAGATTTTTGCCATCTTTGGTGCCATCTTCAGAAAATACTTTTTGTCCGTGAGATGAACAATATTTTTTGCCACACTGCACCTTTCTTTAAGTTAAGTTGAAAATTCTCAAAACGTAATTACTTGGATTCATTTAGGCCTACATTTAAATTTGCCTACAAGTCGATAATGGGGTATTTTAGTTGTAAAATCATTGAGTATAGGCCTACACGTACAGTGTATACCTGTATACTCAATGGTAAATCATAACATAAATATAAACACAAACAAATTGTAAAAATAGCGTATTCCCGAATCAGGACTATTTTCTTAGGCAAAACCAGCTGACCACTTTTTTAGCTATTAAAGTGTAGGGCTTACATCTAATGCCCTCAACTTAAGCTGATTCTTTTTATTCAGGGATGAAAAAAAATTTAGCCCCGAAACGCAAGAACCCGAATCAGTTACAGTACTGTACCTACCGGTAATGAAAACAGCTGTTTTTGCTACAGCATAATGATGAAAATCTTTACTCAGCCAAAAGATAAATTGTTTTTAAAAATATAAAGAAACTACAGTACTTGTGAAACTTTTGTCAAAACAACAATATAAATTTATCTGCTTTATGGCACTGAAATAATGATTTTTTTTTTCGAAAAAGTGATTTTTTAAATTTGTCTATTATTTTTTATTTATTGGCTAATGCTAAAAATAAGAAAAATTGGTCAAAAATAAAAATAAAATATTTTTTTGTGCTTAGGCTAGGCCTATATTAAGAAAAAACAGAAGATATTTTAAAAAAATCCGGTCATTGACTTATTTTAGTAGGTAATAATAATTATAATTATCATTATTATTAATATTAATTATATAATAATTAAGTAATAATTACATAATAATATAATAAATAATAATAAAACGCTTGCATAAACAAAAAATTGATCCATAACTCAACAATAAGTATCACCAATTAAGTACCTAATAATTACATAATAATATAATAAATAATAATAAAACGCTTGCATAAACAAAAAATTGATCCATAACTCAACAATAAGTATCACCATGGTTACACTGCCAAGTGTAACTTTAGCGTGTGATTCCCGCTAATCAGTCTTTTAGCGTCTTTAACTACTAAATTTGATATATCTTCAAAACGGTTTATGCTACATGATTCAAATTTTTACCAAGTGTTTAGAATGTCATTATCTAAATAATTAGGTAGAATTGTAAATGTATGTTTATTCTAAATTGAAAAAAGATATTTTTATTTCCACAGAAAACCAATTTATTTATTTTTTAATTACAAAATGACCCATAAAAATGAATAATTAAAGATAGGCCCCTACTGTTATAATTCTACCTAAATATTTAGAGGGCATTATTCCCTGCAAACTGATGGAATGAATGAATGAATGAATAAAGTGCTTTATTTTAAAATAAACATTCCCTTAATCAAACACTTAATAAACAATGGTCTACGACCGTCTGTTTGGTTGACACACCTGGAAAACACATTTATGAAAATGAAGTTGAAACAAAATACACTTAATAACATACACAAATGTACATACAATTTTACATCCATTTTTAAACTGATGGTTTAATGATTAAAATCCAAAAATAAGAACTGAAGTTATATCAAATTTAGTTAATTACCTAAAAAAAAAACAACAAAAAATATTAAGGGTGTAACTTAACAAAAAAATTTACTTCTAACTATGTTTATACCTATTTTTATGCCTATAAAACACATGGTATAAGTTTGAAAGACCTAGTGATAATGTTAAAGAAGTTAGCATTTTCAGTGCCATATCCCCTTAAGTTAAGTTATTTACATAAAGGTTTTTATTAAAAAACATTTTGTTGAAACTAAAACCCAGAAATACATTATATATTATATAATGTAGTATTATATAATAATATATTATATAATATATTTGTATAATAATAATATAATATATAATATATATATATATATATAAATATATTATATATTATTATATTATACATTATATTTTACCATTTTACCTGTTGTTGTTATCTATGCACCATATTATTTGCTGGTTATGACTTTTGCATCTTATGCCTGCTTTTCACTTTCATTCTTTTTTTATTGCACGTATTTTAGTAGCCTTTACCTAATTTGCTATGTTTATGTATGTCTTACAATTGAAATGATTCAGCCTATGAATGTATTTTTGTTTTCTTGTATACTGGTTATGTCTTTTGCATGTTATGTTTGCTTTCTAATTTATTCTTATTACTATTGCTCATATTTATTACCTAATTATGCTATGTTTATAAAGTGATTAATCCTATTTAATGTATACTCTAATGTAAAAATGGTGTTACCGTTGAAAGAATAAATAAATAATTTTTAAATAAAAATACTTTTTAAAAATGCCACGTTTATAAACGCACTAAAAAGTATAAAATAATTTATACAATTTTGAGAGAATAAATACTTGTAAGATTTAAAACGAAAAACGTGGGGCGCATGCTGATTTACAATTAACTTCACCTATTGAACTATTATGATCTATTGCATGTGCCCCACGTTTTTCGTTTTAAATCTTACAAGTATTTATTCTCTCAAAATTGTATAAATTATTTTATACTTTTTAGTGCGTTTAAAAACGTGGCATTTTTAAAAAGTATTTTTATTTATAAATTATTATCGAGTTTTTAGTCTTGAAAATGTGTTAATATGTTAAATCTATTTTATATAGCCTCTTAATACATAACTAAAAACCAAAACCTTATTATCTGTAATCAGATGTTTTATCTTTACTTTAAAATGATTGTTTTATATTTTTAGAATATCTGGGAAGCAGAACCTGTACCTCTTAAACCTCTGCTCTTCTAAGTGTCAAATTTAAGTATTTACAGCTGACTTAAATTAATTTATATGTTTACATTCTTTTAAAATGTAAACATGGAAAATTTGGAAGCCAAAGGGGCGTAGCCCAAGGGAAATATGAAAATTAAATGATATAATATTGCATTGTCATCCATTTGTGAGCTATGTTTCAAGTTTCAAGTCTCTAGCTCATCGGGAACTTCTTTTACAATTGATATCAAAATTTGTAGTAAGCGAGCTAATAAAAACAAGCCCATGGGGGGTAGTCCAAGGGAAATATGAAAATTAAATGATATAATATTGCATTGTCTTCCATTTATGAGCTATGTTTCAAATTTCAAGTCTCTAGCTCATCGGGAAGTATCAAAATATGCAAGAAAGCAATTTAACAAAAACAAGCCCATGGGGTGTATCCCAAAGGAAATATGAAAATTAAATAATATAGTATTGCATTGTCTTCCATTTGTGAGCTATGTTTCAAGTTTCAAGTCTCTAGCTCGTCGGGAAGTTAGTATACAATTGATTTCAAAATTTGTACCGGACAAGAAAGCGAGCTAATAAAAACGTTTTAATAAATAAATAAACAAATACAGCAGATATATAAATTATTTTTCACAATAGGCTATATTAAAATGTTATTATGATTCGAGCATTAGTTTTTTTTATGTTATTTCACGTCTGGTGTTGTTTGAAAAGCAAAAATTCTTTTCTAATTTGGATTATAGTTAAATAAGCAAAACAATCCATTATATTCAGTTGTGATATTAATGTAACCAGCCATTCAATAAAAAACCTCTAATCGTGTGTAGTTTATTTCATTTGATGAGTAAAAATCCCAGCATACAATACCGGCTGGTTGCACCGCCAAGCCTACAGGCGGCAGCAAGCACCGGTAGTGACGATTTGTCTACAAATAGTATAAATTAATTTACGGAAATGTAATAGGTAGTTTTTTATAGGCTAATTATTTTTAAAATATATAGCCTGAGGCCTGATTATAGAAAACCTTGATACAGTAAACACTTCAATCTTACCATAGACAAAAATAATTAAATATAGACTGTCAGCCGTGCTGCGGTTACCATGTTTACCATAGGTTCCGGCGCACACCGCTGTAGTTTACGTAGCGCGTATGCCTTTACTACATGGCGCCCCAAGCGGCGTGCCCCTCGCGCCAGAACCATGGTAACTGCAGCACAGCTGACGGTCTATATTTAATTCTCTGTCTATGATCTTACTAAACATTTTTATAATGAAAGCATAGGCCAAACTCAAGGTATTTTAATTTCAGCACCGATGATGATGCTGATGCAGCAAAATCTGCAGCAAAACATGCACTATTTGATGTCAGCACTACAAGTAAAAAGAAGAAGAAGAAGAAAACTGACAAAAAGAAAGTAAGATTAAGGTTTTGTTAAATAAATTTTACAGCAACGTTAATTGTAACTTTAACATTTATAAAAGGTTAATGTATGCTATTTCTAATTAGTGATTCTTTAAAATCTGTTTCTCAAAACTTAATAATATTCTAAAATGTAATACTTTTTGTCTCAGGTTTATGTGTAATTGCATGTGTGCCAGGAAATTTTAGAAGAAGGTATGTCATGTTTCACACCTGATTTACCTAGAGGCTAATGTAAAACTAAATGCAAAGGTAGCTTCCCTGTCTGCCCAGGTAAATGATCATTTAGCTCTCTTTCTGTAAGGTGTCCTAAAGTTACGTTTCAATATAGACGTAAACTTACTTTAAAAAAATCTCAAACATAAGGAATGGTGTAGATACATGTGCAATTTATTTTTATTTTTCAGAAATCAAGTAAAAAAGCAAAAAAAGAAAAGAAAAAACACAAGAAGAAAAAAAAGAAGAAGGCTTCAAGTTCATCGAGCTCTTCTGACTCGGAGCAAGAATGGGTTGAGAAACCAGGTAGGAATTTGATGTAATGTTAACATGTGTAATCATAAGCAATAATCTATCGTTCAATTCGTTTCTGTGGTACTTTTTTAAACAGACATAAACAAGTCGCCTGTACTGTCTATAGAACTACCAGCAAGTTTTACTAAAACCACTGTTTATGTTTATATTTAGGACTATGTGTGGGTCAGGGTATTAATACCCATTACCACTTCAACCTGTACAATGTAAGCACTCTTCAAGCTAAAATACACCAGATAGATTTTCTTTGATAAACAATATTAGACTTTCCAATTATCCATTTAAGTGGATTATGCTGCTGCAGATTAACCATAATAAGAAACCCAAAATAAAAATACATCATGCCTGTTAAATGTATGTTTTACAGCAATGACCAACGTGTTTAGTGTGAGAAAGGCCTACGTCTTGCATGCAGAATATCAGACTATAGAGTTGCTATTGTTTGCTTCAATGACCATCTATGAGTCACCAATTACAACCAATAAGTTGCAATATATGTCATTTTGTGTGTTCTAATTTTCGTTACTAGGCCTGTACAAAGGTATCTACACTGCAGTTAAATGTTTTATTATTACCTAATAAGCCTCTACTAAAGATTAAATATAATTTCAAAGTCAATGCTAGTTATTTCCTGAATATTTTAGGTTAGGTTAGCATTATCCAACAATCACTCAGCCACATCTTTTCTGGAGGCTGGTAGATAAACAATTATTATATCCCTTATAGAAAAGAGAAATAAATACCCCCGCCGCAGCAAACCTGCCGACTAAGCGAATTTCCATTTGTCTGAATTGATTTTCAGTTAAATATATTTTAATAACATTAGGTTTAACGAGTACCTAGGTTTGCTGCTACAAGGAAACTAATAAAGTGTGTTTTTGAGTAAAATATTGATAGCTTAGTACAAAATAAATAAATTTGCCAAGTGTGATCAAAATATATCCATAAACAAGCAAACTACAAGATTTGACATTATTCTCCATAAGAATAACATGGGAATTTTAAATTTACAATTTTTTAATTTTCTTGGTTACTAATAATCGAACAAAAATACTTTTATATACTAAATTATTTGTTTTTTTAAGCTCTTTAAAAAGGTCTAAAGAGAAATCGGGAAATTTTGTGTTTTGAGGGTCAAAAGTGAGAAAAACCAATTTTTACCCCATAAAACCCCCCGTAAATCCCCGTTCCCATGGTCCGATCGTGCTGGTTCGCGAACTCATTCAAGTTTATCCCGCTTTACACCTTTAAACCAAATTTCATCAAAATCGGACAAAAATTACTCAAGTTATCGCGTTCACGGACGTATATATATATATATATAAGTCTATATATATATATATATACATATATAAAAATTTGTACGAATGGTGTTTTTGGCCTCTGGGGACATCAAAATGAAAAAGTAAATCGTTCCCGGGTCTAGGTCTTACCGTGCCACCTACGGTAATAGCTACTTCCCTATAGGGAAATTCGCTAAAAGAAATCTTATTTGTTCAAAACAACTTTGATGGCTTTTAATGAATTGTGAGACCTCTTTTCCCTCACTACAGTAATTTTTCCAATTCATGCACTCATCACAGTTTAAGAAATGGCCAGGCTCAAAAATGGCTGAAATATTGCAAAACAATTAAATTAAAATATGTATAAAGTATGAACTAGACCTACAAATTTCCCCTGATTTCTAGCAAAGGAGCAAAAAATCAAAGCCAGTTTTCTAAAAGTGGTTTCTGTTCTGTTAGCAACAAACACAGCCTCTGGATCCGAGGACGAAGTTGTCGGACCTGTACAGAAAGACAAGGTGACATTGACGATGAAGGACTACGGTAAGGCTCTTTTGCCGGGAGAAGGAGCAGCAATGGCCGCATATGTGGCTGAGGGGAAACGTATTCCTCGCCGAGGAGAGATCGGTCTCACGTCTGACCAGATCGCATCCTACGAGTCTGTCGGTTACGTCATGAGTGGAAGCAGGTAGGCCATGTCACCTGGTCAATGTTTACAGAAGTTACTGTAAGCCTTAACACGTTCGCTACTGCAATAGTACGAAATTTTTCATTCACGTGGACCAGCGACGCACATATGCGTCGGCCGGGTTCCACCCATAGACTGCCGTCGCATATATGCGTCGGCTAGTCACATTAAAATAGACTGCCGTCGCATATTTGCGTCGGGGTTCTAATGTTATTAAAATGCTTATATCTTTGTAACGGTCTATTTGATGGCTCTGAATTCCCTGCAGTGGTCTACAGAGATGTCTGACGCAGAGATGTGCGTCGCTTGGTCTGTGGATATGATGATTGGTGACGTCATATGATAGTTAAAAAAACTGGTCTTTACTTTTCTGCATCACTGTATGTATGTATGCAGTATGTATGCAGTATGTATGCTGAATTATCCTATGTAGCTTTTATATTTGTTCAGTTATAAACTGTTCTTGATCAATCTGTTTTTTATTTTACTTACTTTCACCTCAAAACACAAAAAAATGAACTGTCGCATCTATGCGATGTTTGGTCTATTTCAAGAAAACTATGATAATTTTCACTATCGTCTTCGCTGTAGACCGGGCGTCGCAAGTATGCGACATTACAAAAGGTTATTAATAATACAAAAAAAAAACAAGAATATATTATTTACAAACACGATTGTAGCGTATTACAATGTAAATGATCACTGTTTTACAGGTTTTCGCCCGTGGTCTGTGTGTACTGTTATCCAAGTGACAGCCGGTCTGTGTGTAAGATTCAAATGTATACCTCGGTCTGTGGCAATGACCGCGGCGTCGCATATATGCGACGCTCAGTAGCGAACGTGTTAATTTGAGCTTTTATAGAAAATATCCCTCAAATAATATTTAAACTTAAAATCACACGAAAAGGAACTTGAAACAAAGGATTTACAGTCAGTTGATCACAGATTGAAAGCAAAAAACTTAAGGTCAACCAATTCAGTATTCTTCCCACTATTACTGTTAGAGTTAATCTATTGCTGAAGTGTTCTAGTAGACCAATTCTTGGTTAATGATATGGCTGTTGAGATTTCCTGTGCTTGCAAGCATTTAGGCTAATGCACATATCTTCTGGTATTTAATTTGACAGACATAGTCTTTATCCTCAACATTTTTCTTCAGGCCTACAATTTGGTACTGTGGGCTTATCCTTCTTTTATTTAAATACTATTGACAATCCTACTCATCCTAAAATAACAAAAGCCTGGTAATTAATGACAAAAGGAAATTATACGTTGATAGCTTACTCTGCACAACTTCTTAAATTTGCATGGTTTTAAAAATAAAACGGTACTTACGTATTAAACGGAGGCCACATTTTGTCAGCGCGCTGCGGCGGTTATGTTAGGTTGGGTTATCGTAAATATTATGTGTGTAGGACTTTCTTCGCTTCGTTATGAATCGAACGATACCAGACGAGTTATACTTTCTATTATGATAACCCAACCTAACATAACCGCCGCAGCGCGCTGACAAAATGTGGCCTCCGTTTAATACGTAAATACCAATAAAACTATTAGAAAGAGTTCTATTTAAATTTTAAACCTAACATTTTCCATTTCTCAACAGGCATCGAAGAATGGAAGCTGTACGTATTCGTAAAGAGAACCAGATCTATTCAGCTGACGAGAAAAGAGCTTTGGCCATGTTTAGCAAGGAGGAGCGTCAAAAACGAGAGAACAAAATCCTCACTCAGTTCAGAGACATGGTTAGCAGCAAACTACAAAACGAGAAAAATTGACATTTATGTGTTTATAAATAGACTACTATGAAATGCTTCAAACTGTACATAGTCCTAGTGTGGAATAAGTAAACATTTCAAATCTTACAATTTGTACTTCAATCTCAATTCTGTCCTATCCTACATTTCTGGTGTTGTAAAAAACATTAATTACTGACTATTAAGTGAGTGACGAACAACTGTAAAATTACAGTTATTAAAAATATCTGGTTTTTAAAGTCCAATATTTTTTTTACATTAAAATGGTTCAAAAAGATGTGCTTTTAAATATATCATTTATATTGATAAGTTTAATATCTTAAATCAAATATTGCAAAGCCTAATTTTTCTTTCATAAATCAATGATTACAGTTAAATAACCAACAAAGTAGGGGTGGGCGCATAATAACTAAATGGATGTTAAGAGGGTTCCCTACCCACGCCGAAAAACGTCAGAAAACCGCTTCGCGCGGTATCATATAGCGATTCTAGTTTTAACATTTAAATTGTGAACCAAACACCATTTTGTATATAAAGAGTGGTTCTACTAAGTTTGCTTTTTAAAAAATGTCTATGCTTACGCAATCAAGGGCAACGACTTGTCAAAGTTAGTGAACTTTACAGTTAAATAATATAATATCTTTTTATGAAATTATCGATTTTTAATAAAGCCATATTAGTGCGAAATTTAACTAAAAATATCAAGTCACTTTCAGTTTCAAGAAAAGATTATTTTTTGTATGTGCAAAATGAAACCGCGTAAAACCTTGCATGGCGAAAAGTGCTATGATTCTGACGGACTCTAGCGGCCTTTATCGAAACTACTGTCTCGCGGAGGCGTCCTGGCGGTGACACGACCAGCAGACAGCAATCCTAGGGAATATTTTGTCGTCTTGTAGTTACAACTAAACTCACCAGGGTCGCAGAAAATTGAAAACAGTTCGAGGTAGGGAACCCCCTTAATAAACATTTTTACAAATTCACAAACCAAATCTGATTCAACTAGTTGGCAAAGTCCCGCAGATGTATTTTATCAGAAGGGAATATGGCTTGTACCCCAAAAGCTTCATTTATTTTCTTGAAATTTGTAAATTGATAAATGCTAAATTAAATTGTATACTATACACTACATCATGTTAGTATTTTTGTGAGGTGGTTTGTTTTGTTTTAAACAACACTGTTTACAAGTCTTAGCCAGATGTTCAATATCATGATCGATGCCTTGCCAATAGCAGTAGCTTCTCGCTAAAGCCTTCATTTTAACTATTCCCAAGTGACCAAAATGAATTTCTGTAAGTACTTTTGATTTCAAATTTTTTGGAACGACAACTCTATTACCTTTAAATAAACATCCGTCTTGTAATGTAAATTCATAATCATTGTATCCAAGATTCTCAAGGCTCTTTCCTTCTTCTAAATGTTGAATGATGGTTTTAAGGTGTTCTTCCTTCATTGATTCATCTGCAATCTGTTGTTTTGTAACTGGGAGTGTTTCTAATTGGTTGATTTGAAAGACAGAATAATCATCAATTGAGTTTGGTAGCGACTTTTCATGTGGAAATCTCGACAAAAAGTCTGCATTGCCGTGTTTTTCTGTTCCTCTAAATTCAACTGTATAGTCAAATCCTGAAAGAAAATGAGCGTAATTGAAGATTCTAGTCGCTGCCATAGTAGGTAATGTCTTTTGAGGATCGAATATGGACACAAGGGGTTTATGATCGGTTATCAAGACAAACTTTCGTCCATATATGTATGGAAAGAATTTCTTTAGTCCAAAATAAATAGCTGCAGCTTCTTTATCAATCTGACTGTATCCATTTCCTGTAGTTTTTTCTGTACCATTTCCTAGTCTGTGAGAAAGAACTGCTCCGAGTCCTACAGGTGATGCATCTGTTGCAAGAGTAACCGTCAGATTGGGGTCAAAATGAGTTAAAATTTGTTCACTTGTTATTTCTTCTTTGACTTTTTGAAAGCTATTTTCACAATCAGAGCTCCATTACATTACATTATTTGTCATGAGAGCCGAAACCCCCTGACTACATACCCGGTACCTGTCGTGAGACTTACCCGGGCCCCATGATGTAGGCCGAAGCTTACGCATCAACCTTTTGCACATCATGGGCGGATGACTTAAGGTCATCAGGCTCACCGGCTGCCGAAGCAGACCCTTCGGAAAGAGGGTTACCCCTCAATCCTAACCAGGGTTTCCGGCTACTTGTTTAAGCGTCACTCCACCTGGGTTCCACTAGGTCGGGACCTAGAGGACCATGGTAGAGCGCCCCGACGCATTTAGTGCAAGTAACACTCGGGACCTATCTAATCCCTGACAGGCAAAACCCGCCATCAATAGCCAGAAGGAAGGGGACCGTCAGCACGCTGGCGGGGGGAACCCCAACCTCCCATTTACACCACTACCCGATCGAGGCCTTACCCAGTTGCTGGGAAACCAGAGATAACCAGAGCGATAGATCCCCAGATACCCCTGGCGGGCTCGGACCCAGCACCCGATCTACTTCGTTTGCCCGTCAGACCCAACATCACTGCCAGGCCATCAGGGTTTCCCAAAAGGAGGCAGGTATAGAAGTGGGACCCACCCGGATGCATCAGAGCTCCAGATGAACTTAGCATTTTTTGTAAGTAATCTTGTCAAAGGATATACTTTAGTTGAGTAGTTTTGTATAAATTTGCTGTAGTACGTGGCCGAGCCTAAAAATGTCTTCAATTCACTTACATTTGTAGGTCTTCTAGCATTTTGAATCGCTACAGTTTTCTCAGGACTTTTGTGTAGACCTTTTTCATCAATAATGTGCCCGAGGTATTTGATACTTTTTTCAAAAAACTTACATTTGTCTCCATTCAAATGTAAGTTGTGCTTCTGTAGAACTTCTAATACCTTCTCTAATCTCAGAAGAGTTTCTTCGTAAGTTGACCCCTGGACTAAAATGTCGTCGAAAAAACATTGTACGCCATCCATACCTTGTAGTAAGGAATCCATGAATTTTTGCCACAGGGAAGGAGCAACCTTAACCCCAAACATCAGTCTATTTACTTTGAACAACCCTTTATGAGTACTTAGTGTTTGCATTTTGCTACTCTCTTCATCCATTTTCATATGTAAATAAGCATTGCTTATATCAAGAGAACAGAAGTATTTGCCTCCACTCATTGTAGAAAAAATGTCTTCAATCCTCGGAATTGGGTATTTCTCGTCTTTCACGACTTTGTTCAAAGTAACTTTAAAATCAGCGCAGATACGAATGTCACCATTAGGTTTTATGACAGGCACAATAGGCGTTCCCCATTCCGAGTTGTCTACCTTGGTGATAATCTTTTGGGTTTCCAGACAGCTGAGTTCATTTTCAACTTTTGTCCTTATGGCATATGGAACCTGTCTAGCCCTTATGTATATAGGTCTTGAGTTGTCCTTCAAGTTAAGTTTTGCTTCAAAGTTTGGAATACACCCTATGTTTTTGTCAAATAAACCTTCATATTTTGCAAGTAATGAGTCCAGCTCCGGCTTCCTTGTTTCATTCATGTGTATAGATTTTATTTCTCCCCAGTCTAGTTTTATTTCTCTCATCCATTCACGCCCAAAAATCCTATCGACATGTTGATTAATGACAAAGATTTTTCCCATGAAACACTGTCCCTTATAGTCACATTTTACGTATGTTACCCCCTTAGGTTTTATGATCTCCCCTGTGTAGGTGCGCAGCTCTACACCATAGTCTTGTAAAGTCTTTTGGAAGGAATTAGTCTTTTGTAGTCTTCATATGAAATCGATGTAAGTGATGCTCCAGTATCCAACTCAAAAGTAACGTTTTTACCTTCCAATTTTATATCAATGTGAAATTTGTCATCTCTCTTTTTGTCAGACAGTAAATTAATTTCATGGAAATGTCTTCAGAAATGTCATTATTTTCAGTGTAATGAACTTGCCCTTTACTGTTTTTATGTTTACTAAGGCATACTCTTGAAATGTGTCCGATCTTTCCACAGGTGTTACAGGTTTCATCAATCATTGGACAAACATTCGCTCTATGGTATATATTCCCACATCGGTAGCATTTTCCTTTCAGTGACTCAAAATCTGTTACACGAAATTTATTACCAGAGTACTTGTATAAGATCCTGTGTTGTATGATTTTGTTCTAGGTCTGTGAATTTGTTCATTGGATGTAATATTATTTCTAGCTTTAAACTTTACTTGATTTATGTCTACGTTTCCACTCTTTTGACATATCAAAGTACTTTCAAATTTTGAAAGTTCCATCGTAGTAGCTGTGTTAAGAATTTCTACAAATTGTTTGTGGTCACATTTCTATAAAAGCTGAGTTTTAATGTCTTTGTCATTAAGTCCACGTATGAGTTGCAGTCGTAAAAGCATGTCTAATACAGATTTTCCACAAGCTTCGCAATTGAATTTGCAATTAGTTGACAACCTTTTTAGTTCTGTAGCAAAGTTTGAAATAGATTCTCCTTCTTCCTGTATTCGACTAATAAATGTGTGTTGTAAAGTCAAAATACTTTTTTTAGGATCTAGAAAGTTGTCAAGCAAGGTCACAAGCTCCCCATACTCTTTATTTATAGGATTGTCTGGTGTACATAGGTCGTATAGTTTCTGATGTAGAAGAGGTGTCAAGGCATGTAAAAGTGTAAAAGTTTTTAACTTATAGGATCATTTATACCTTTTAAAGTCATAAAAACCTCCAGTCTTCTGGCAAAATTAGAAAAGTTTTCCCTTTCATCGTAAGGAGTAAAGCTCAAATTTGAAGTAGGAAGAACTGGAATCGGTGTATTAGCTTGTAGATTTTCAGTGGTGCAACTATTTTGATTGGGAATAGAGCTATGTTGAATACTTGGCATATGAAGTAATTGGGCATCCATTAATCTTGCTTTTGTATCAATCAGCATGTTTTCAATACTTTCCCTGTAAGTTAGCTCGTTTTCTAAATCTTCTTCTTCTGTATAGAAGTCGATCTTGTCTTGAATTAGGTCATACTTTGATTTAATCTCAGCTAACAAATCAAGTCTAGTTTGGATTTCATTGATAGAAAATGATCCTTTGTCCACATACTTCTTTACATTTCCAAGCTGAAACTTGACTGTTCTTCGCAATGATTTCAATTTCCTAACTTTATTTACATCTTCTGCTATTTTTTCTAAATCTTCCATTATTCTCGTCGCCATTGATAGATATTTTAGTAATGTAACATTTTAATGCAGTAACTCAAGTTTTCTTTATTTAATCACAATCATCATATAAACAATAACAACTGAACAGAACATATGTAAATTAACAAATATAGTATAAGCCAGTACATTTGGAGTGGACACATCAGGGGGAATTAACCCACATAACTCCCCCTTGTTGACCATCCAAAAACTAAACTCTATTATCAATACTGACCCCTAGAGGCATTCCTACTTATGCTCCTTTTAAAAGGCAAGTGAGCCTTAAAAACTACTGCCCTACAGCGCTCCAGACATTCTCTTTTCGTGTGAGTATGGCTAACTCTTCAGGTGTAACCACCCTCACTTTGAATTGCTATGTGCATATTCACTGCGGGAAACCACCTTCCCATTCCCATTATAATTAAGTTATTGAAACTGGGTTGGCATAAAAACACCTTCCCATGTTGTGGAAGTATTTCTAAAATTAGCAATTACCAATTAGGAGCTAATCTATAATAGAAGTTTATAAATCCTTGTGGTCATGATCACGGCAATGAGATAAAGTCGTTTGAGGTAATGTATCCAGCATCCATAAATACTTTCTACCTACTAAACTACCAAACTTATGAAGGTTGTACCATTGCCTATATCTCTTGCTAAGCTATAAATTTGTTGTATTTAACCGCAGCCACCTCTAATTTAACACACATTAATCGGGGGCCTCTTCGTCCCACACGCCCCATTTCCATGGAGTACGGTACCGAACCAGAAACTTGAGTGTTAGGCATATGAAGCCATACGGTTATGGCTTAACATTGTATGTTGCACGACATCGATTTTGCTTCCACCATGATTGATAGGCATGCTTGTTATAGCAATCTATATCTACTGCACCGTTCTAGCATTCATTGCTATTCGGAAGAATTGATTTAAAAAAGCCCATATATTTCCTATAAATCTGATGAGGTGAATAACCCTATCTGTCAACCTTTAAAATGAAAAAAAAATTGTTTAGTTTAGATTAACAGAAATTTTCTATACTACTTCTTCAATACTTAATAATCGGCGCTTCGAATATTTTTGTAGAGTAACGTTGGCAATAGATTGCTTCATGTTTTTTTGCTATGTCGTCTGCTTCTGCTAGTCTGCTAGTCAACTTCAGCTAAAAAAACTACTTTCTGTTTATTTCTATTTTGATTTTTGATAACCCCACCCACCCAGCTGCTTGTTAGTTGTTGCTGTTTGTAAAAATTGTTTGGTGGCTTTGGCCTTTTTGTCTATGCTTTGGCTTATTATGGCGAAAATTATTGCCGCATCTCATAGAATGTAATAACAATAAGTTAACTGGTTTGTTTTTGTAGTTTCAATTGGACAAAATATTTTTGGAATGAGAAGTATTATTTAACAAGCAATTATAGCCTTTTCGTTTCAAATCACTAATTTCAGAGTGTTCTTTTAGTTGTAATGCGCATAGGTATACAATGGAGGTTAGTAATAGTTTGGTTTGTTTTTCTCTAAGGGCCATTAGGTTTGTTTGTTTGTGCTTAACTGGGCTATGCTAATATTGATTGAAACTATAGAATTGAAAATATTGATTAATAATCGATATTTTTTAATAAATCTATTATAAAATTGAACTATCATAACCTAACCTAACCAACCAAACTTGCTGATAGTGAAAAAATCGCATGAAGGTTTACTAATCGAATCGATAGTTTCAATCAATATTAGCATAGCCCAGTTAAGAAACTGTACCCCGTCCTTATATTTTTGACTATACACCTTGTTATATAGACTAGTTTTTTTGGGTACAGTTTCTTAACTGGGCTATGCTAATATCGATTGGATTCGATTAGTAAACCTTCATGCATTCTTTTCACCATCAGCAAGATGGGTTGGTTAGGTTAGGTTATGATGGCTGCACTTTACTTGACGTCCTACACTCATTCGAATGAAAATATCGATCGATATATCGATTAATCGATTGCTTCGTTCGATATATCGTTTGGTTAGTTAGGTAAGGTTAACCTAACCTAACTAACCAAACGATATATCGAATGAAAATATCGAATCGAAAAAAAACAATCAAATGAGTGTAGGACGTCAAGTAAAGTGCAGCCGTTATGATAGTTTAATTTTATAATAGACAGATTTAAAAATATCGATTATTATCCAGTAGCCTATTTTCAATTCGATAGTTTCAATCGATATTAGCATAGCCCAGTTAAGAAACTGTACCCGTTTTTTTTATATGTACTTATTTGCTTTTGGCCTTTGTTTAAAACTTATGAGAAGATTAAACCTATTATATTTTTGATTGGGTTTTAAAATTCAATTTCCCTAAACGGTTTATACTTACTTACTTATACTTGTAGGTATCCCATTAGTAGCACGGGTGTGCCATGGTCGTCAAAGTTTTGGCCTATTCTTGATTTAAAAACTCTTCGGCAAAAGTAGGTATCCCATTAGTAGCACGGGTGTGCCATGGTCGTCAAAGTTTTTGCCTATTCTTGATTTAAAAACTCTTCGGTAAAAATTTCCCTGAGTACAGTTTCTTAGCTGGGCTAAGTTATGCTATTATCGATTGAAACTATCGAATTGAAAATATTGATTAATAACCGATATTTTTAAATATATCTATTATTAAACTAAACTAAGCTTAGCTTAAATTACTAAAGCTTAAGCTTGGATGTAAACTTCTCCGCCTCTTCAATTTCCCTTATGCCTGCTGGAATTTTATTGTAAATTCTTATGCATGTAGGTCTTGGTCCATCTCTCACTAAACTGGATGAAACTTGTGGTAACATTGGTGGTAACAGTGGTTGGAATGTAAGCCATGAATAGTAATCTAAAAAAACTTGGGTGGTTTAAATTACCCAAGGTAACTTATTATTTTTTCCATTTTTACTTTGAAGTTAAGTGCTAAGTATTTTAGGTGGTAATGCTAATTACTATATTTAAAGTGTGATCTTATCCTTTGTGCAGACGGGAGATAATAGACCAGAAGAGCATGTTGAAGCCGGTCCTAGCACATCTGCAATTTCGGCACCACCCTCCTATCACGGCTCCCCTGCACCGGACAAGGGTCCCCCGCCATCATATGAAGAAGCGATTGATCCTAATGGTGAGTTTAATTAAATATGCTAAGTATAAGGACAACTTTGAAAACTTACCAGTTTTTTGGGTTAACAACGTAGGCTAATTAACAACCTGTTTAGGCCTAGGCCTATAAGGTTTACAGAGCCAAGATGCAGATTTAACTGAAATGAAACTTAATTGGCCGATTGGGGATTCTTAACTTAATATTCTGAGTAAAGTAAGTTAAATAACTTAAGGTAGGCCTAACTATAACATAAGTTATCTTAGCACATTTTGTCGATTCCTACCAATACTTTGGATAGGGATACCGTACTATTTTGTAGAATATTCACAAACTTAACTTGTGTTTCCTCTTTTATAATTTTTTTAACTTTGGTGTACCTTATGCCAGTTATGCCTTACTTATAGATGATTCAAATTGGTAATGAACCCAGAGACAATATCTTTAAAGGATGGTAGAGAGTAGGGATGGAGGGGTCTAACATTTTTTAAAAATATGCAATATTTAAAAAAAAATCTCCATTAGTTCGAGCGAGACTTGCTTTGTTCAAAGATTTTTTTAGAGACGAGATAAACAAAATTTAAGAACACCTTGACAAAGGAAACGTAACAAAAACAAGCTCCTTGCGGGTATTGCAGAGACTTTCTGAAGGAGTTTTTTAACTGTGTAGGCCTACACATCTCAAAAATGAGTAAAAAATAATAAAACTCATTATATCCGGTAATTTGTTTAAATATGTTAGGACCCTGGTCCCTCTATACTGGATACTAGGTTTGATTGTATATGTTACCTATCATTATCCCTGAGATCAGAAGTAACACGTACAAGCTGCTACAATTCTTTTGTCTCTTACTTTTTTTGTTGAGATAGACTACAGTTAGTTGTGGTGTGCATGCAAGAGTTTTACATTAAATTTGTCTTAACCTATTTTATTTTTATTTTTTCTTATTGAAGATTTTCATAACTAGCCTATTTAGGTTGGTTCCTTGTTAACTTTTGTTATTTTGTACACTCTTCTTGTACCAATCTTTGTAATTAATAATTAGTTATTATTGTAGCCTACTTTAGTTGTTGTTTTAGTGCTTTAGGCCTATTGTTATTTATTAACCAAATTGTAAAACTTCACAAACAAATTAATCAAACAATCTATCAATTAATCAATTATTTAAGATGGGGACGCCACTAAGTGCGTATTTTAACCCAAATATGAGTGAAGAACGAGTGGCACGATCTTGTGGTCTTGTTAGTGACTAAGGCCGACATGTTTCTTAGACACAGTTGTTAATTAACACCCCATACAGCCAATGGCAACTAAGGGACCTACAGTTTGTAATGGAATCCGAACCACATTTTTTCCCTTGTAATTAACGAGTTACAATAGTTCCTGCTATTGTTACGTCTTGAATTATCATAAGAAACAAGAATTTCTACTTGATCTCGTCTCAAACTTAAAATCAAGGTCTTGTCCATCCCTAGTCTTAAAGAGTTACGAAGTACCCTGTGTAGGGCTACCTACCAACAGATCCACTACCTATTTCTCAAATCTAGTTACAGCAGTAAAGCTATGAGTTATTGCTATAGTTATGCACGTCATGTATGTGTTGTATTTTAATTTATGACTTGAACGTCTTGCCACGGATTAGTCCAGTTAGTTACCTCCAATTTTTTTAAATCTTGAGTTGGGCCAATCTACATGTAATACGGCTTGAGTCTAGCTTTTTTATTGAAAAATGTAAAATTGGTTTAAAATGTTGCTAAGTGATAAAAAAAACAGAACAAATTAACAAGTGAGTTTTTTCTTAACTAAAAATGAGTGATGAAGGGCGCCTGTGCTACATATGCTTGGGGGAAGATGGGGAGGACGAACGTTGGGTGTCTCCTTGTAAGTGTTCCGGGAGTCTCAAGTGGGTTCATCAATCCTGCATCGTCCTGTGGGTTAGAGAGCAAGAGGCGACACGACCGTTTACGCCAGCGTTCTGCTCTCAGTGTAGGACACCGCTGAGACTTATACCACAGAGAAGCCTGCTGGTGTCTACAATGGATATCATCAACAAAAACGTGTACCACATCTACAAGTATTACGCCTTCTGGATCTTCGGTATTGGAGTTTTGGATACAGTCTTTTGTACCTTTGCAGTCTACGCACAATCTCAAGTGTATGGTTTGGACGCAACTCTGAATGCTCTGTGTGCATCAACTCATTTCCACCAGTCCATGCTGTCTATGCATTTTACAGCTATGTCACTTGTAGCGATCAACCTTCCGTGGGAGAAATTATTGTTGAGAGAGTTGCAAAATCTGGGTAGACTACCCGCGTTAAAATGGATTTTCCCAGAAGAGATTCCTGTTCGCTACAGAATAATAAAAAAGGTAGATGTTTTGAATGTTGTGATCACCAGCACTTTACACCCTGTTGTTGCAAGAGTGATTGGTAATTTTATATTCCCTTTTGTAGAATCAAACCTTCAAAGGGTTTTATTGGGAGGGCTGTCTTTTCTTGCAGTAAAGTGGGTTCTGTCCATGTACCTTCAGCATAAAAAGGAACTTCGTCTGAAGAAAATGAGGATCTTACCCTATCAAGTTATTAATTCACTTACAGTTTCTGACGAAGCATTGTAGTAGAGATTTTATGAACGATACAAAGATTGATGATATATTTCATTTTGTTATTTAATCATGTTAGTTATAAATTTGAAAAGTAATAAATAACTAGGCCTAGTTTGATTATTGATTTTGAGATTGTACATTGCAGTTTCAGAAAAAATTCTCTTGATAAAGTTATTATGTTTTATTTAAATACAATATCGAAGTGATCTAATGATTCTGCTAGTGCAGATTAGCATTTAACATTTTAGAGAATCAGTAAGTAAGTTGAAGGGGTTTGAATAAACTGTATTGTGTTTAAATAAAATGAAATACAATAAAACCCTTATACCATAAGGTCTAATAAGAAATGTAAATCAATTGGATAGTTGATAAGCAGGGCCACATTTCCAAATAGGTGTTTGCAAATTTTGGAAACAAATTAATCATATTACACCAAAATATTGAACACCTAGAATTTCAAAAAATTGGCTTGGAAGTAATCATTGAGGAAATTAAACCACACATTCTTGTAATTACTCAACACATGTAGCAACTCGCTACAAGACAATAGCGCAAGTCACGTGACACAGTTAGGTGTGCGCGCAGTCTCCCCAAGACAAGCAGGCGCGGTTAGCCGGCGAGAGGTAGTGTGTCGAGCGTGATGCCAGCAACAAGTTAACATTCGGATAAGTACTGCATTAAGACTATGAGCAGTAAATTATATAGGGGTTGAGGAAGGGTGTAGGCAAGGGCAAACTTATTTTAATTATGTAATTTATTAGGTTCACCAATGGTCGTGGTCTGGTAATCAATATCCCAAATTTAGAATTCACATTTGCTAAATCTAGTTACTTTTCACGAATCAGAATAAGTCCAGATATATATTTATTTCTCTGTTCACTATATTATAATTAGATATATTAAATAACATAAAAGCTGGCTGTGATATGCAGCTAAGGTAATATTGGGCACTTTGACGAGGTAGGTAGCTTCCTTGGAGTAGGGTTGAACAACGACAGGAAATGTGCGTGATTTGGCAGTGGTGAGAGGAAGGTATATAGGGCCCAAGTATATTCATTTACACTCATACTACTACACATCACCACACACATTATGAAAGATTATGCCATTCAAAAGATTAATATTGATGACTTCACTGTAAAAAAATATTTTTGTCAAAGTAAGTTTTCTAAAGGAGGTGTGGCAATATTTTCTTAAAAATAATGTAGCAGTTAAGAAAATATCACCTAAAATAATAGACACACTTTGACAGGAGAAGGTTTTTGAATGCTGTACTGTGAAGTGCTGTACTAATGGGTATGAGTTTGTTTTGATAGGTGTGTATGTGACGGTCAGGAAGTTATTGACTGTATTTTATTTTTGGTTTGATTATGGATACCAGCCCAAAGCCCAATTTTGGATTGGCAATCGTGTCGCAACTCCGCTAGCCAGCATTGTTTTGCAATTTATTTGGGGTTTTGTTGAGTGTCACAAAGTATTGAGTACATCGATTGCTACATCACGTTCGTTTGTTTGGACCGTGGCATGGAATGCATGGCCTGATTGTTTTACTGACATGAGGTGTCATCATTCTGTGAGACGTGTAGGAACGCCGAACCTGGGTCTAGTCAATCAGAGTCGAGCTCGAGGTGTCGGTGAGTCGCAGTTATGCGCTACCTTTCCCTTCCCTGCGGGTGGCATGTCCTTCTACTTTAATGCTTGATACTTAAATACTTGATACTTTAAGTTCCCCAAACATGTTCAATTTCAAATAGTTTAATCTAAATTGTCTGTATTTTCAATTCAAAGTAACTTATTACAAATCATCCTATTAATTTAACATAATAAATTAAGTTTCGAATTCTACTCGGCATTCGATCTTTGAGTTTCTGCCCTCCCCGTGCGCGGTTGTTACATTGGTGTCAGGTGTGGGGTCAGATGCAAGAATTCTGACAAAATGGAAGGTAAGTACCTTGCTTATATGCTCAGAGTCCATAATTTACTATTGATGTGTATTGAAAATTTTAACCCGGAAACCTGCTACGGAGTTATACAATAGCTTTAAACGTTGGTATACAGTACCACCATTCATAAGGTGAGTTTTTAGCATGAGGGGGGGAAGTTCCTACATTTTAGAGTAAAGTTTATTGAAATGAAATAAGTTGAATTGTTTGAATGATCTTGGAGAAATGAAATTCGGGGATTTTGAAGTTGAATTAAGCGCAATAGTTTCACTATTCTAGTTCGCTTGTAATAAAATAGGTACGCTTAGCGTTGAGGAGTAACCTTTAGAAGGGGTGCTCCAATTCCTGGATTTGAATTCTACTCGGCATTTGATCATTGAGTTTCTGCCCTTTCCGTGCGCGTTTGTTACATATATCGATCTCCAAGTGCCGATGTTAATTTATCTCTGGATAATCTTAGTTTTGTAGTTGATAGCGTTTCAAATTTTAGTAAAAATATTATAGTAGCAGGAGACATAAATATTAATGTAATGGTAAAAGATAACAATTTTAAAGAACTACAGAGCATGTTAAAAAGTCACAATATGCGATATTTAATCAACCTTCCCTCAAGGGTAGCAAACAACTGTCAATCGGCAATAGATAATTTTTTAACAAATGTCACAAATGTAAAGTTATATGTTTATGGTCTGATTACATTCTTATCAGACCACGATGGACAAGTATTAGAGCTTGACATTGCTGGTAGTAAACTAAAACCAAAGGATAAAGTCAAAACTAAATCTTGCCGAAATTACAGTTTAGAGAACATCAAGATGTTTAAATTTAGTTACAGAGTGAAAACTGGATGGATGTTTATATGGCCCCTACAGAATGCAAATATTCCATATTTAACAATTTATTTTATCAATATTTTATCGAGTGTTTTCCAGTAAACTTAAAAATTGGTAGCAATAAGAGAAAATAGATAAATTATGATTTAAAGCAAAAGAGGGATGTTATTGTTAATTTAATTAAGGGAGCTAGATTATTCAAACAATCCACATGTAAGAATCTTAATATCTTAAAGAAAAACTATAGATCAGATCTCTTAAATGCAAAAAAAGAGTATTATAACAACAAAATTAAGTAATTACCTAACATTTCAAAAACTGTTTGGTCAATAATAAACAAAGAAATTCACAATAGTAAAAAACAAAAAGATACTGAGGGCATTGTGTTGAAACATGCTTTTCCACTCAGGATGACAACAATATAGATTTTTCATTTAATTCAATTTTTTATCTAAAACCCGTAACTGACACTGAAGTAGTTTCAATTATCAAATCTTTCAAAAACAAAAAATCATCTGGATATGATGGTTTATCAGTCACAATTCTAAAGGAGGTAAAAGATTAATTAAAGTTTATCCTGACACATCTTATAAATTCTTCATTTATCACAGGCTATTTTCCAAATCAATTAAAAATTTCTAGGATCATACCATTTCATAAAAAGAATTCTAAAAATGACGTTTCTAATTACCGACCAGTATCAGTTCTTCCCACTTTTTCTAAAGTATATGAAAAAGCAGTTTACAACAGATTGATAGAATATTTAAGCAGATCAGAACAAATCGATAATGAACAGCATGGTTTCTGGGCTGGAAGATCAACTGTCACTGCAGCAATTTGTCTCATTGAAGCCATAATAGATTCTGTTGATAAAGGCTTAAATACTGCTGGAACATTTATGGACAAGTCGCAGGCCTTTGACAATGTAGATCATATGGTATTGCTAAACAAGCTTAAGATAAAGTGCATTAAGGGTGTTGCACATAAATGGTTTATTTCATATTTGGAGAATCGCTATCAATTTGTAAAACTCTCTTATTTATAAAAAAATTGGATACAGAAGACAAAATCAGATTTACTACAAAATTACAAATGCATCTAGGGGACCCTCAGGGTTCTATTTTGGGACCTATTTTATTTATATGCTACATTAAAAACCTACCAAATGTATTGAGCGAGTCAGCCAGTACATTAAGCACATATGCTGATGATGTCAATCTTAAAACTTCGGGTAATTCAATTACTGATATTGAAAATTCTACCGAATTAGAGCTCAAAAATATTGAAAAATTCTTAACAAACAACAATTTAACACTAAATACAAACAAGACAAATTTTGTTTTCTTTCATACAAATAAGATCAAAAAAGATCAAACCCCTAAAATTACTCTAAATAATAACCCGATCAATCAAGTGAAATCAACCAAATTTAGGCCTGATAATTGATGAACATCTAAATTGGAATGAACATATTAAGTATTTGGTTGGTAAAATTAATTCAGGCTTGTTTGTTTTAAGATCAATGGCTTATCTCTGTGATAAAGCTGTGTTAAAAATGATATACCACTCGCTTATAGAATGTCATATTGGCTACGGAATCGAAATTTATGGTGGGACAGACAAAAGAATTTGAAAATTTTAAATAAGGTTTTAAAACTACAAAAAGAGGCCATTAGAGTTATTGAAAAATTTAAGGATAAGAAGTCTGTGAAAAAGTACTTTAAAGAAATGGAAATTTTTACAGTGTATGGTTTGTATATTTTTAAAACTATTCAGCATGTTCATAAAGATAAAAACACTTAAGTATCCCATAAATACAATACAAGGTGGAAAAATCAAACTGTAAAAAGTCATCATCGGCTGGAACTTTAAAAAATGAAGCCTTCGTATATCGGGAATTTATTCATAAGAAGTTTGCCTGCCTTACTAAAAAAAGATTAAAACAAAAACAATTTTTTGAAGAAACTAAAATCATTCTTAATTAATCTGGCTCCCTATAGTTAGCTATCCATTCTTAAATAATTGTCAAATTGTATGGTTAATTTTTTTGGATTAAATTGTATAACCAATTTTGTATGCTTTGACACTATTCATGTATATAAAATGTATAAAGTGAATAAAGATGATTTGATTTGATTAGGTGAACTAGGCGCACGCCTAGGACGGCAAATTTTATGGGCCCCAAAATTTAGGAAGATTAATAATCAAGAGGATGTTTTAATCTAAAAATAAAAATGTTAAGCAATTAATTTTGAGAACTGCAAAAATGTGATTTTAAATACTTTGAGTATAAAAAGATTTCAGAACATACTCATACTCAGGCAGTTCAAAAATGTTAAATGTAATCCCTGAAAACTTAAAACTACAGCTATTTCGTACTGGGTTGAGATAGGGACCTCTGGGTTTCTCCAGAATTTTTTTAACTAAATGTCCTTCAAAATAAGGTGTCATTTAATGGGGCTTTGTATTTAAAATCTTGAGCAGCCCTGAAAATAACCCATCTTGGGTTTTCGGACGAAATTGGGACACCAACAAAAAAGTGCACTTTTATGCTATAGAGATGTGCTGAGCAGAGTTTGGTTTTCCTGGTTTAACCCATTAAAAAGTGAATAGGGAGTCTCCAGACTTTTTACTTATATTGGATTTGATTATCTAGGATGATTTAATCATGTTGGAAGTTAGCTTTAATAATATTCAGCATTGATTAATATTCCAAAATCATTTGCTAATATTTTACCACAAATAAAAAAAAAACATTTTCTATTACAACATTGAACCACGCACGGCGCACACTGAGTCGACTACGGTCGACTATACGGCTCAGCCTTACTTACCTGACTCTGGCATTTTACCCGCGCATTTCACCATTCGACACCGGCCGGAAATACGTCACAACCTCGTGTTCACCAGCCTAGCATTGCCGTCAGTGCACAGGGTCTGCTTAACAAAACGTATGTCATAAAACATCTGTACTACCGTACACCAAATTACATAATGGATATTATCTCCAAAAGTAACAAAAACTTTGTTACACAAATATCCAATTTAGGTGGTTAACAATTGAAAATTTTTACAATTTCAACATTTTACAACTGGTGGAGTTTTTTAGTGATATAAGGTATACTACACCACCCACATTCCAAGTTTCATAAACAGGATTGTCAAAATCGTCAATACATTTTCAGTTTGCCAATCCGGTAGGTGGCCTTGGTTGCTCCTAGGACCGACCTACGCCGAAACCGAATTGCTTCGTTTAGGGCACCGAGCCGGACCGGTGTAGTGCACGGCATCCGGCATCTCATTGATTACGTGTATTTTAACATTTTAAAAGGCCGTAGTCGACTCAGTGCGCGCCGTGCTTAAGACACCAATCTTTTGGCCATAGAGAGGATCTTATGTATAATAGAAGAACAAGTTTTTGTGAAAATATATTGTTGATTATTTCTTGTTAATTTTTAACATTTGGCAAAGATATTTGTTCTGGTAATTCTGTCTTCTTGATGTGTGTAACAGTGGTTTTATTTTCTAGCGCCACCTCCCTCATATGACTCATTGTTTGGTAGAGTCAGAGAGGTTCGCAAATCCTCTTCAGGATTTCTTGACTTCTTCAAGAACTTAACAATATTACTGATCGGAACAAGTAAGTAAAATGTATCCATTGGATGAATGTGCTATTGAAGTTACAATTTGTAAAACTTCAAAAATATGAGAATATTGTTTGAATCTTTTGATAACCTATAAAGTATAAGTTTGGGCTGGCTATTCTTTAAGTTGCCCTACAATTTTATTCTGGTCATGTGCAGTCTCACTCATTGCTTTATGTTATGTACATAGGCCTGAGGTCTAAGTGAACTGGAAAATGAAAGAATACAAGAAGGGCTACCAACAATTAAAAATTAAATACTACCATTGACTATACACAGAAAATAGATTAAGTTCAGGACCATCTCACCAGAGTTTACTAGTGTATTATCATTGACTATTGGATACAGTTGTTGGTTGTATTAATAGTCAAAGGTATTAGCATAGATAAAACATACTCCCTTAGTAGATTTCTCATCCTTATGGAACAGCTGAAGACAATTTTATTGTTAGTTCTGTACGGTTTTCTGCAGATGTTGTGTTTTGTTTACAATTTGTTTCCCGTTATTACAGCCATTTAAAACCTCGTTTAACCAAATAATACGATCTAATCATAAACAATAACTTGTCCCCTAGTAATATAACCAAACAGTAAAGCACAAATCAAGAAACTAACCCTAAAATAATAGAAACAAAGTTTCGTCAACACTAGCGCCCATGTGTCACGTACATGAACTAGACACGAAAAACGTGCTTCAAAATTTACAATGGGATGAGAAGTCTACTTGTGTTGGTTAGTCTATGGTATTAGGTTGAATATTTTTTTTAAACCAATGCAGTATCATAGCAAACAGCTGATTGATTTATCACTTAACACAGAATATTGTCATTAGTTGGTGACCATCTCAACAGATAGCACCACGTTTTTTTGGCTTCAAAATTTTACATTACATGGGAAGTCTATTCTGTGTATAGTCAATGATACTACCAACTCTTAAAAATAAATAATACCCACCAGGAGGGTATAGGCTGGGATGAATTTTTACAAAAATATTATTCTTTAAGTTCTTTTAAAACAATTTGCCAGTAATATTACATATTTGAACATTACATCTTCAATTTTATTTTTAGCAAATAGCCTGCTATAGCCTGTAAAAACAATGCAGCATTTTTAAGTTGTGTTTAGCAAAGTGCTAAAAATGATACCACAGCTTAAACCCTGCTAACTACCCTATTTTAATTTAAAGTTTACAAGTTTTTGGACATTTCTCTTGGTGTGATTATTATGAAAGTAACAGAGCAATATATTTGTTTCAGTTGGCTGTGGGGTGGTTTTCACCATCACATTTGTTATTCCTGTCTCTATGATCGTCGTAGGTTTGGTCTACCTACACGAGTGTCCAAACAGTGAATATATTCCCATTTTCTTGCTTGTTGGAGGTAAGCTTTCAGTGTTAAATACTTTGAAACTGCTTAGCTTATACTTGGTGTAGAACTTCTTTTGGGATTTTTTTTTGATTCAGGATTGATTCTGATAACATTAAAGATGAGTTAGTACAATGTAAAAAGTTGCAGCTTAAAAAAAAATAATCGAGGCGTATAATGTACAAGTGTGCGGGGCAAAATCTTTTGGAGGGAGTTGGAAATGCAGTAAAACCTTTTGTTTTTTACAATATATAGCTGATGTTGGTTCAATTATTATGATAATAAAATATGTCATATCATCTGTAGTCAATATTACACCTATACCATGATAAACGAGTTGGTTCCCGATTGGGCCTGATAATGAGTAAAATCATTTACAATTCTAACATATTTTATGTATATTTAGTTTACTATCTTGTTGAAAGTTTAAAATATAAGAGTAAATATGTCAAGTTGTAATGTCTATTATTATATAGTGTATATAGTGACGTTATATCAACATAAAATAATACAACGTCATATGTTACTGACCAAAAGAAAAATGAACCTCAGGTATAACAAAAAGCCCCCATACATTAGGTGACTTGGTCGCCCGTCGTTGGGCGATTAGATTGCCGGCAATCATATCACCAGTCAAAACGTATTTTCTACTCCAGCAATCAGTCAGGTAATATCATGTGCTAATCAAATCAGAGTTTGTTGATCAGTGTGAGAATGGAGCTTGAATTTACAGAAAAATAACAACAATTTTACATTAAATATTGAGAATGAATAAGCAGTTGTTTTACATACTGTAAAATTAAATTACAAAGATGATAATACTACATCAGGCGACGCCAGTCAGACATCAGTGCGCATGCATGGGGTGAATATCGCTCAGTACCACACACTTGGCAATCTTGTTGCCCAGCGATCTCTGAATTACCGGTAATTTGGTGGATTGCCAGAGAAAATTGAGTGATCTGGAAGTCGCCGGGCCATATCAAAATCGCCGGCAATCCGATTGAAACACCCCATACATAGGCGATTTGGTAACCCAATGTATGGGAGGCTTAAGAGAAAACAAAACATTTAACTTAATAAACTAACAGCTGTTGCAAAATAAATATTAAAATGAAATATGAACTATACAGCTGTGGCAAAGTTGATGTCACACGCTGTGAGGTGACTTGAAGTCCAGGGAGCTTGAATTTTACATTTCGACCAGACCAAGTTCATTGTATAGGTCTTGTAGGTTAGGCGGTTTTTGAGTGATGGTTTTGGAGTTTAGATATTTTGAAGTTTTTTTATCTTGAATTGTTGACTAATTAGATTACACTTGTTGGGTAGCACATATGCTGGCTTCACTCTGTCTAAGCTCAATCGTACTTGTTTACCATTCTGCAATGTTACCATAAGGATTGCCTTGAACAATTCCTACAGACAGCTGCTCAGACCATCAAGTGGTCAAACTGTGTGCGCATCCACATGTTGAAAGGAGAGTTTTGGATGCTAGCAGCCTAGTATAGTCTGCCGCATTTGAACCAATGCCCAACACCCGATTTTGTGCATCTCGGGAGGCTAAAAGCAACCGGCTGCTCGAATTTTATCACCCCAGCTGGGATGCACAAAATCTAGAGTCCGGTGGCTTTTTTAGCATCCGATGCTGCCTTAGTTTAATTGCCATTAACCAATTGCCATCCCCATTTGATCGCCCCGCTTACCTCCCACATGCCATCCTAGTATAATCATAATCTTAGCCTAAGATGTCAGCAGTTAGTGGTAGGTTGGCTCAGCATTGTGTGATGTCCAGGTGGGTTCGGAGTGCTGAAGCAATTGCTGCATCTCTCTGCTCAAGTGAGAGTCAGAGAGGAGGAGAGAGAGCAAGAGAGGCTGAGACAAACCCCGACACAGACACTCATCTCTTGCTTCATGCTGGGCTGGTTTATCATAGGTAATGTCCATTTGTAATTCCATTTGCCATCTTGAGACATTTTTTAATATTTTTCTCTTACTTTTTTATCTATACTATGTGCAGAAATTTATTGACACTAAACATTGTTGCTGATGTAGGCTTACCTGAAAAGCAAAAAGTCCACCCTTACACAAAAGACACATAATGAAACCCAATAATTATTAGAGTTATGTACTTAGTGCATATATTTTGTTGTTTCTTGAGGATGGGCTCATTAAGGCAAGACTTCCACCGTAAAACAACCTTAAAACATAGCCTCGCGTGCCCTGTGTTCCATAAATTCATGACACTGTTGTTTTATGTAACGGCTCCTGATGATGATGCAATTGGTGCCGCATTTTTGGTGTACAGAGTCATATGATGAAAATTTAAACAAGGAGATTTGTCGAGAGAGCATTTCAGTTTTAGGTACTATAAAATATAAACGATACAAAGAGGATAACACCTTATCGGATATATCAAGAAAACAAACTAGGTGTTCTGACGTGGGTGTGCTTAAAAGTATTAAAAGTACCATGATAAAATAGAGGGTTAATTTGACCATTAGGAGGTTACAAGTGATCTGCTGTTGCCTCCCCATGACATTTGTATGTTTCTTCGTTCAATTCTATATTTATATTTAAGTGACTAGTGTGAACTTGTTACTCACACATTGGCATTGTTTAAGTGGGACTATTTTATGTTTTAAGGAGTTTAATGTTATTTTAATTTCATTCTTGGATCAACAGATTTGGTTTACTTTAATTTATAGATATTATGTTTTGTAACGCTCAATACTATTTGCCGACTGGTGGTCGTATGCATTGAAAACCTTTCTCTCGTAATAGCTGGGTTAACTCAGTGGAATCATAAGGTCACCGATTCAATCCTGAAAAAAAATGTATAACATTGTGAAGGTTCGTTACTGGATCCAGCTGTCCTTGATCATTGGGCTTTTAATAAATGGTCCTGACTAATGAAACAGCTGATCTTATTCAGTAACAAACCTACACGGATTACCTCACTCCATTCTACACTCATCTTTCACTCATATTTGGGTTAAAATACTCACCGAGGGGACAACCCCATCTCAATAATTGATAATCGTATAGTTGTATTTTATAAATCCTGTTGGTGTATCCACATAACGCCATCTTTCCTGACGCCAACGATATATCCCATAATTCCCTTATTCACTGTAAACCGCCACTGTACTGATCTCACCATCCACCATGTTACTAACTTAATACAATGTTTCATTTTAGCTTTAGTACCTACAACAATTAAGTCTCAGATACATATTCAGTTTGTTAGAGCTAAGTGGGTCAACGTTACTATTAACCAACTCGTGATCTATTGTAGGCAGTATGTGGGTGTACGGTGCCAGTCAGCCCAGTTTTGACCGGTCCAACCCGCACTACTGTAACAGGTTCCTGTACACGTTCGCGCTGGGTCTGGTCACCTCGGTGTATATATCTCTGGCTGCTGTCATCATGTGCATGTGCAGCGCCTCTGCTGTTGCTTTCGTCTACCAAGCTCACGCCGGCTCACAGGAGTTCAGGATATAAATGTTCTCGCACTATATCTTACAGCTCTCAGCCAACTAATTTTCTTCAACGTTAAGAGCCTTTGTCAATCTTTTTTGGCCTACAGATTACTGGAGGTTTTTCCAAACAAATATAAATGTAGGGAATACCTGCTATAGTATCATTCACAAATAATGCAACTAGATTGGTGCCAAATTTGTGTCATCTTAGTATGTACTTGGATATGTGTCTGTTACAGTTATCATATGCTTAACACTTACTCCTAACGAATAAAATCTATGTACCCACTTGGGTACAACACTAAAACACTATTACGTAAACATGAAAATATACTGCAGTCTGATTATAAAGTCCAAACAGAGTCTGAAGGTGGCACAAAAGCTAGTTGCTAAGTACAATTTAAGGAATTTGCAAAAGCAGGTATTGACAACATTTAGAAATTTGTCCATTGCCAGTCTCATTTATACGGTTTAATTGTATTGATTGTTAGGTTTTATAACAATGATTTAAATAAGCAGTCACAAAAGAATTATTATAAAAATGTCAATGTTGACCAAAAAAGAACATTTTTTTTTAAATTTAGGTGTATACAAAAAAATTGTTTTACTTTTTATGTTTGAACCACATCTAAAATCATGTCAATGAGAACAGTATTCCGAAAAAAGTTCAGAACGACATATTGTAAATCTTGCTTTATCACGTGGAGTGCTGATGACGGGAATTCCTGATTATTTCTTAACATTGAAATAAATGCAACTTTCATGATCAAACATGTTGACCGCACTAATAATGTTAAGGGTACAATTACACTACATCATTTTGTACCAAATGTATGGATTTTATTTTTTTTTGCATCGATGATAAAGACTTTTATAGCTATAATTTTTTTATCTCAAATAGCAACAGTTTTAGTTGAATGTAGATCAAAGTTAATATTGTTTTGCGTAAGAAGGTTTAGTTGGTTTTCTAATTAGAATTTTTACTTGCTGTGTAAAAGAGTAAAATTTAGTTAAATATATTTTTATACCTTTCCAATTTTAAGTATACATATAAAAGTCATTCTGGAGGTCTCTCAAAAAACATCACAGTTATATTTTAATTTAGCAAATTCAAATTGTACATTGTTTGAATATTATTACTGTTTTTTTTTTTTTTTTACAAAACATGTTATTCACTGCCAAATATATTTTTCATTGTGTTTTTTTTGTAACCCACTTCTTGAGTGTTGTGCTACACTGTTTTTCTAGGCTATCAGAAAACATCCCAAAATACTTTGACTTTGAGTTTAATGACTTACAAACTCAAAGTTACTCATCTTTGTTCTTTGTTGAGTCAATTTTAATGTGTGTCACAAATACGTTGCAAACGTTGTTAGTTTTAGTTTTTGATTTTTTATCGATAGTCTTTTTTCAAAATGTATTTGCATATTAAACAAAGAAATGTTGCCATATGAGATACTTGTAGTTTGATCTCAATAAGAAAGTTAAATAATCTAATTTCTGTCTTTTTAATTGTCTCTTTTTTCATAACCTCCTAACTCAACTTTATAGCCTATATTTACAAAATAATTTGGTTTGTGCTATGTAGGCCTTAGACAGAAAATAATTTTGCACAAATTTTTTTGACAGTTCTGGACTCAAAGGAATGAATATATTTTGCATGTTCATTTCTTTATGTACCGGTATAAAACTAAACATAAAAATAATTTGACTTCTCAATAGGTTATATTTTTAAGGGAAAGTAATATTTTCATTTAAGTTTAAGGAGGATTTTTTAGGCTGATTAAAATTGAAATTAAATTTTTTTCATCTCTTGGATGTTTTAGTAATCTTACTTGCTTACAAAGTTGTAATTTTAAAATGTTTTTATAACATTTGTAAACAAAGGATTTGTTGTATAGATATGAGATTTTTTAAGTAAAAAATTGTCAGTCCAAGTTTAATTATTGGTGCAGCACTTTTGTAAGTTTGAGGTTTGACACTACTTAGCACAAATGTTCACTGTCTCTACTCTCAAACATAATTTTGAAATACTGTACTATAAATTATTTTAGTTCTCGTCAAACCCATTCCTCAGAGAATTGCACAAGTTTTAGCACAATTTTTTTGATTTTGTTTAAATTGAACTTGATCTCAGTGCAAAATGTACAAGTTAGCTTTAATGTTTATACATTTATAAAATATATTTACACTCTAAATAATGTAAAAATGTGTTATTGTTGTAAATAAAAGTGTGTTCTTCAAATTAGCGCTAAAGGTGTGAAATATATCAACCTGTTAACATTAGTTAATTAATTTCTTCTTTAAAATTTGTTAAAGTGTAGAGTTTAGTCCAACTGTATGTTGAGTTCTTCAACAATTTATTGTGTTTAATAAGCTGTGAGTTAAGTAAGTGTTATCTTTGCTAAGTTTATTGATGTACCATACTTATAATATTGTTTTATCCCCAAAAACATGAAGCATTGGTGTGGTTTTACAGCTAGATTGAAAGAAGGGTTTTAACACACAAACAGTTAAATATTCAATGTAATTATCGTTCTCACTCTGTAATCTGCAGTTTGTCAAATGCAGAGACCCTGATCATGATCAGATATTTTCAATATCTTTTGAAAGTGAAATCAACCATTAAACTATTTATTTGTAATTGTGGCTAGCATCACTAAAGACTAAACACTGATTAAATTTACCATAATTTAGAATTATGTTGTGTTTCAAAATTAAATATTCTATCATTGCAATTAATTGTGTGTTTTGACAGTAACAAAGCAAGGCTTATAAAAAAAACATCTCACCAACTGATTCTACAAGTATAATAAAATCATAAGTGATATAAAAAACACCGAGGGATATAACATATTTAATACCATTGAGTATACACGTACTAGAGTAGCTACTCAATAGAGGTTATCGTTACCTGAACAGCGCTGTTCCACAGTAGCGTCAGCGGCCCGAACTACTCCGCCTCGGGCTTATCGGTAAGGCAGTTTGGTTGTTTTTTATTATTACTTTCATTGTAGGTTGTAAAATGTCATTTTTGTTGATGAAATTTGTTTGTTTGTTTCTAGTTTCATTGTTTTATAATACATTTTTAATACTAAATGGTTAAAAGGTCCTCAGAGGTGTACTGCACTACCGACAGACTACCACGATCCAAGCGTGGCCAAAATTGGTAACAACTAATAGCATTATGTGAGAACTCTTATACGTGTATACTCAATGTTAATACAAACAATTAAATAGTTATTACAGTACAGTAAATCTTATTATGAATCTCAGTTTAACATATCATCTAAAAATGTTAAAACATAAAGTGTGCTAGCAAAACTAATATGCCTCTACAATTGTGATGCTGCAAGACTGAAATAACTTATATCATTAAGCGTTATGTTATTCAGTAAATGTGTCTATCCCACCAAAGATAAGTGTAACTATTGTATATACAAACAAGCCAATAAATAAAAAATAAAAAAAAACAATTGTGTACAATTTTTTACCATGAAAAATGCTGAATGTTCTTGAAAAAATGAATCTACTTGTTGTACTGTATTACCAATCAAATATCCGAACCAAATAAATTTCCCTTTGTAAAATCCTCAAATTCAAAACTCCCTCTTTAACTCTTAATCCCCTTTTAAATAGAACTTCCCCGTACAAAACTCCCAGCTAAAGGGAATAACCCTAAGAGCAACCAGTACTCACCCAACACTTCTGGGCACCCTGCCCTGTTCGATTGATCCCTTTCCCTACCTCAGGTGGCCAAATTATTGAACTCGATGATAGCTACTACTGAGCTATCACTACAAAGCCCTCAAGCAAAGCCCTCAGTGTTTACAAAAACACGCTTCACAGCTAGCAAGGCCTGACCACAGATCATCAACCTAGCTTGCCTTAGAGCTTACCCTCCATAACTCGAGCAAAAATTATCTGATTTCTATGAGATTTCGTACTAAAGAGTAACCCTACGTACGTACTCAAACGAGTTTGTTAACCGTCATGATCAAACGATAGGAATGTGGTTTTATAGATTAAAAATAGGATTTTCTAATTTTTGGCCGTCAAAACATATAATTTCCCAATTTCTTTTCAAACCATTTCATAGAGCTTAAAAAAACAAATAAATTACGAACTAGAAGTGTTTTTTGTAAAATTGTCTACGGAGAAAAAAATAAAAAATGTAAATAAAAAATTTCCATGTCATTCTTATGGAGAATAAGTAAATTGCTATAGTGTTGTAGTTTGCTTGTTTATTGATATATTTGGATTAAACTTGACAAAATGTTTTATTTTATACTGAGCCTTTAGCATTTTACTAAAAACACACTTTTATTGCTCCCTGTAACAGCAAATCTAAGTACTCTTTAAACCTGTTAATTTAATAGGGAATCAATCTTACATGTTTAAAGAAATATTGTTTTCAGTATTTTAGCGTAAACTCAATCTGCCAAATATAAATTTGCTTAGTCAGCAGTTTCGCAGGGGTATTTATATATATATATATTTTTTTTTTTTTATAAAACTTGAACTTACAAACCAAACAATCTTTGCTAGATTAATTATGTACTTCACTCTTTCTATCAAAGCCAATGATTCATGGATAACCATTTTACCATTAATAAATGTTATATAAAATAAACATTAATAAAGAACTCACCGACTTCCACTTTACCATATAAGATGATGGTGCAGGTGTGTATGTTCAATTCAATCCAATTTCTCCATTTCACTCTACTCTGTCTCACTTTAACATGACAAATGTGTCTTGTCTGTCAATTTCTTTGCTCAAAATATTAGTTTGTGGTTGAACTCCTTCAGTTTCTCTACAACGTTCGACTCCTTTTACACAAATAAAATAAAATTGTAGAACGGACAGATACTTTCTCCCATTACTTTGATGTTAAAATTGAGCATCCCACTACTTTTAAGAGCAAAAAATTTAAAATAATACATAATACTGAGTAACCAGAAGGGGTAACTAAAGGTTTTTTTAGGGGTAATAAAGTATGGCAAACAATTTTGAACCTCATTTCAAAATAAAATGGGCGAGCTTGGGTGGTTGTGCTATTTTGTTTTAAGGTTCATACACACATAAAAAACCATTTTTTTGGGGGTTTAGGGGGGTGCGTTGTTGAGATTATTTCAACCCAAAACTCAAACTCTAAAATATATTGATGAAAACAATAGGTAGTTATCTCCAAATACTGTTTGTAGTTTGTATAGGGCTGTAAATCATGTTTTGTAGACTAGGATGGTGGCGTCGTCCTGTAATCCAGCTACTAGGAGGTTACGAATTGTGGATGTTTATAGGCATGCACTGTGGATGCAATACTCCTTGGTGTGGATTAACGCCAGCACTAGTGAGTACTAAGACTATCCGCAGTACTATCCTGATTAGGCCAATTCGTTAATACTAAGGCAAAAATGTAGTTTGGATTCCACTATAAACTGTAGGTCCCTTAGTTGCCATTAGCTGTATGGGCTATTAATTAACAGCAGTGTCTAAGGAATAGATCAGCCTTAAGTCACTAACAAGACTACAAGATCGCGCCACTCATCCTACACTCATCCTTCACTCATACTTGGTTTAAAATACCTACTTTGTATGGTCGCCATTTTAATGAAACGTATTAAAGTATACAACATTTTCCTCAGTTATTCTTTCAGCAAAAACTGTCTTTCAAATAATACCAGATGAACAAATTTGTAACTTAATGTTTCTGTGTTTACTGAGATATTTATATTGTCAAAATTCAGTTATTTTCAGGTATAAAAACTCAAGAGTTAAATTAAATACATTTGTTTCCATGTGGATTGGATAAGTTGCATGAAAAGGAAATAAAGTAGCAAACCACATAAATAGAAGGTATATTGACAACGAATCAGAATTGGAACGAAACCTGTACGGTAACTTAGTTCTGTGCTGTGACAAAGAAATGAGTTGTAAATTACAACTTGTAATCAATGTTTTAAGTTCTGCAAACTGGTATTGTTTGTGTAAAACTTTAAAACACCTTCCATTTTACTAGTTTTTGTAAAATATTTCCTTTGTAATAATTTATTTTATGCTAACCTTTTTACAGATGCAGTT